TCTTCCCGTTCGGATGGAAAAGGATAGTCGCTCTCGTTCTAAGAGTTCCCCCGACCCACCCCCTATTGTTTTCGGTCGACGCTACCGGTGCGAGAGACTAAGTCCAGTGTTTTTCTTACGCCTCGGGATCTATTTTTCTCGCCTCGAGATTTCGGCCCAACTGGATTCGAACCCGCGCACACCGCCCGATTCAGCGCCGTAGCCGCGTCCTCTTGCCAACCACGCCGAGTCGTTTTTGAGCTTCCGCAGCTCGTACCAGCTATATCGACCGTACGTGCGGATGCGATCGTTGACGCGAATAAACGCGAACGAACGAACGTTGAACCATGCGTTGCGCTGATACGCGTAACGAGTATGTACGAACGTACGACGATGACGAACGTTTGTACGACAGGCATGTACGAGCGTACGTGCAACCGTGATCGATGTGTAACAAATAAATATAAAATGTACAAGCGTGATATAAACGAATTGATGTGAACAAAGATACGAACGATACGAACGAACAAATATAAACAAATTGATGTGTACGAACGATGTATATGGAACGACGATACGTACGAGTATAAACGAATAAATGCAAACGTATGAACGAACGAATAAATATTATGTTTGAAGTGTGTTGATTTTTATTGTTAAATTAAGTATTCTTAAATAACAGTCGTTGAAAAATAATAACAAAGTGTACAGTTCCTTTCGTAGTACGGTGAATCGCTAGTTTACCGACCGTCGTACCTACGAAACCGAGCAATTCGCATTAAATGCGATTGATTGATTGATCTCGTAACGAATCGGTGCGATATTTTGCAAAGAGTGTTTTTTGGAGTTGAAACTTTAATTTCATTTTTGAGTAGTTTAAAAATTCGATTTTCATTGATAAAATTTGTTTTTCTAATGATACGATGAAGAGGTTAGTTCCACTTTCACAAATTTTCATTTGTAAAATTAGTTAGTGAACAGATTAGTATGTGAATTTTCGAAAATCGTACTCCATGAAACAATGTGATACCGTCTTGTCTTGATTCTTTGTCTTGTTTCATTCAAATTTTTATTACTCTCTGAATAATGCAATGTGTTTAAAAAGAAGAATACAGAAATTGTGTACAAAAAATGCACAAGTTTTGAATATGGATTTTTATTTAATCGGTTAATTATTAACAATTGTTACGCGCGTTGCTACTTCGGTACTCTATACCGAATTCATGTATCAACATTTTTAATTTGATAACTACGTACATATTTTCGCAACTCGATAAGTATAAAACAAATACAACGTGTAGGACATGTACGATATAGGACTAAAATTTTATGAATATAGATTTGACTCCAAATTGACCCCAAGGTTATTAGTATCGATTTACGTATGAAATGATAAATAGATACCATGTACAAAAAAGATACTTTACTTGAATCAAGTTCTTTACATGTTAGAAGAATTGACACTGTCCTAGTGTGAGAATCGACATACTACCTATGCTGAGAAGGAGACAAAGATATCTACCTGTAATTGGTATTCTAAATAATCTGGCGTACATTTTCAACGACGATGTATATAAAAGTATAGTATCAAGATCTTCGCCAGGTGTACTCTGATAGACAAATGGTCGAATGCGCACTTCGTGTCCTATACTTTGAATCATAGAACAAGCAGTTGTTAAGCGAGCTGCCTATGGAAAAATGATACAGTACTGGTTTAAATATCTTCTTTTGTACCTTAAATTTTTAGACGTTTGAAACGTGTAATTATCAAATGTCGAGAAATATTCATTCTGGAGAATGCAGAGAAGAAACCGTGATAAATTCGTTTCTCGTATTTTTGACAAGTTGATTTTCTTATTTCTAATAATTAAAATAGAGCATTTTGATATGTAATAGTTATAAAACCGTATAACCTGATGAATCTCAGAGTCTTTTGAAAATAGATGATAGACGTATGATATTGGTTTGTAAGAGACAGATATGTTAATTTGCGATGATGTGATGTTTAATCTAATATGATCTAATGTAGCAAACATACCTGGATGAAAGGAACTATTGATATTAAAATCCAAAGAATTACGTTTAGTGTTTCGATCCATGTGACAGGATTAGATTGCATATCGCTGTTATCGTATCGGAGTAACCAAATGGTGCCTGCTGCAGCCCATGATAAATTTACAACTGTGTAGATGCATACAGCCGGCCCTAAATCGTCGTTGAAATATTTCAATAGCTTTCTAAATTCACTAATTTCCTGTGACATAAGAAGTAACAAACGCAATTTTGGTTTTCCCTCTTCTACTTGTTTCTTCGTTTTTCTCTCTTTATTATTGACAACGGTTAATAGAACAATTGTACAGATCAATCGAATTACAAACCTTCATCCAATCTATAGGAGGTAAAGTATGGTGAAGTAATTTTTCACGTAGAAAATATAGATGTGCCAGTAAAAGCTGACCTTGCAAGCAGTAACTGGTTATAATTGTTCCTTGAACCATATCGTGCCATAATGTGCATATGATTAAAAGTACCTTCAATGTTATTTTTATTTGACTATGCAAAAAATGATAAATTTGGAACAAGTGTGAAATTTAATATGGTTCGGTGAAAAAAAGACAAAAAACAAATTAATGTTGAGCAACTTGCCTGTGTTCTAACCATTGAAATACAATGCTTTCTTGAGCCATTAATACATTTACTGTAACTAACGCCATGATTATCCATACGAGGCTCAATGCTATGAAAAACCACAATATCCGTACGAGCCTCCTTTGATTTCCATGGTTTACGGAGTTAGAGGACAAAAGAAATGCTCGTTCCATTAAATTTTGCAATTGTTCGTTTTGTTTAATTCGAAACAGATATACTGTATATACGTATGCAACTAAATGTAAAATACTGGGAATCAGATAACTAAATATGACATTTCCAAAACAAGTGATTTCTTTGGAACTTTCCTCGTCGATACTGGATGTAAGTTGAAACCTCAAAGTCGTTGTTTTGTAACAAAAACCTCTGTCTCTTCTAAAAAATCGATCGTACTTGATAATAGCTATATGGAAGGTATATTGTATCGGATGTTATTACCTAAAACATGCCATGTATTGCAGTACATATCCGATACACATAAATATTGCAACTTGACAAGTATGAAGATTTGCAAAAATACAGTAACAAGTGCATCGTTGCGAATCATCGTTGCTTATTGGTTTTAAACCCATTACTCCTAACAGCCTCAGATATGGCCTTAAAATTTTATGTTCGCAATAATGAAGTACCGCTGATGTATTGAGCATTTCAAAATCTGGCATTTCTGTAATTTCACCGATCTATTGTGAGATAAAGAAAAAAGGACACGTAAGTTACACGAGCCTATTGAGAAGAAAAATGCTAAATGGTCTTACCTCTGTACTTTGCATACGTAAATCTGATAATCTAGATGGTGTAGATTCCGGAATTCCTTCCTCGTGATTTTGCTGAGGAGGGTCCTTTCCATTTTTTGATTCGTTATTGCTTGCCTGTAAACAATAGTGATTAGAACGTAACTAACAAGACGTACAATTTTATTGACAATTTTACTTCTTTCAATAACGATTTGATAATATCGTGGATGGAAATCATAGATGGAACACAGATCTTATATTCTCATATCCAAATTCTAGTTGCGAATCATTTGTACGTAAACATGGATTCCCAAAGTCAAGATGAACGCTGATTAATATAACGAGCACCTCGAGCAAATATGTTTGTTCTTAAATTTTTAAAATTAAAATTTGATGATACGTAAATTAACAGCATTACGTGTCAATCGCGTGATAAGTGGTATGCAACAACTGGTAGAAATAAAAAAATTAAGCGAAATACAATGTAAAACTTACTAATGTCATTTTTTTCGACGAACGGGTAGAATACTTTCGAACTTGAAAAGAAAACATTTGTATCGATACTCCGTGTGATTCACCCTAACGTATGAAAGTTTGTTGTATCGCTCTTTCGAGATGACACTTCACCTTTGTCGAGATATCCGTACACGCATCGCGTCGAAATACACAAACTTATTTGCGGTATAAGCAATTTCTAATACGGGGCGGTAAAGCAAAGGAATATGACGATTTATTCTTCGGAACATAACGAATAATAGCGATGTAAAAATATTGTTTATTCTTTAAAAGAATTGGCATTTAACAAATTATACAGCTATTAATATTAACGTCTCTTTTTGTATAAATTTCCTACTGGTCTTAACAAGTGTTTGTATTCTTTTTCGTGTCTCTTCACCTGCAATTTTCTTCTTGTCTGTTTCTGTAAACATGCAAAATATAGAATATACAAAAAGAATATACGTGTTACTTTACGTGCGCGCGTGTAACGTTTATAACACATATGCACCTTGTCAATAACGAAAGTCATTTCTCTGTTACCGCGAGAACTAGACATTTTAAGACCCTCGTTTTCATTTCTTCTCAGTCTCTCTCCCAAAGTAATTCTGAAAAATCAAAGAAATTAACAAACTGATTCAGGTAGATTTAAGATATTTTTCGACTATCTATATAACGTACTTGCTTTGTTTTTTTGCTACTGGTTTTGCATCTTTGAATTCTACGTGTTCTTTGATTTCATAGAACTGAGGTTCGTTCGTACCAAGTTCATTTGTATCTGCCATACTTTCATTATTTTTTTGTATTTGTCTTTCATTCTTTTTTATCAATCGGTATTGATTTTTCATTTCCTTGATCCATTGTTTTTCGTCTTCTGAACTGCTATCATCGTGAATAAAGCTCTCGTCTGAGCTGTTATCTAAAAGTATAAATCTTA